CACACACACACACACACCCTCCTTGTTCCGTCAGCCCATCTGACCTTCTCCTGTTAGTGCCAACAACACTGGACACACACACCAACACACACCAAGAGACTTTCATGCACAGAAATGAAAAAGGGAACACAAACAGCACTGGGATTTGAGGGATCCTACTGTATGTACACAACTGTGTGTAAATAGCATGAAAAGATGGAGTCACACCCATGAGACCTCCTGTTTGATATCCTGCTGAGCTCGTCAGTTTTCTGCCTCACACATGGCACAGTATCAGTACTGTAGGACAGGCGGCAAATTAAAATTCAAACAGCAGCTGCTGTCTCCACCTGTCAAACAAAAGATACTGACACCGACCGTTGGCCTGAACATCTGCAACTACACCCCCACTTACTGCGCTGCCCTTTGGGTGGTATTGGGGGGGGGGGGGGGACTCCACAAACAAACAAACAAACAAAAAAACAGTAAATCCGAGCAACACGTTAGCTTTGCTCCCCTCCACAGCCTGACACAGATGGGTTTTTAGCGCATGTTCTGGTGTGAATAATGGAGGAGCCGTGTGAAATATTGATAAGTCAGTTTTAATAAATTAACCCCGACATCAATTAGTCATGAATTACACTCCTTGGCAATTACTGTTGTATTGGATTTGTGGAGGGAAAATCTATACGAGGGCTGAAAACAGAAGCCGTGCGGCAGCACTCGGCTCAGGCAGAGAAACACGCCGAGGTTTATTTTACAGGATACACGCCCAGGGAGCAGCGTGTGAACGGGACAGGAGGTGTGAATTTGGTTTTCTGTTTACGTGTTTGTATTTACATGTGTGGAGCTGCAATCCGTGCATAAACACACAAAAGAAACTACATGAAGAGTCTGGGTTTAATATTCGCCAAGCTAAATATATTTCTGCCTTTTTGAACGGAGTTTAAAGCTAGTGGCTGAAAATATCAATTAATTAGATTTATTTTTGACAAATGATGCAAAGCATCTCATTAAAAAACTCCTTCAGCAGACTGTAGGGAGACGATACCTGAGGCGATGCTTTTATTTTTATATTTTAAGTGTAATTTTTAATGAAATCTAAAAAAAGGCATTAAAAAAACGAAACATTGCTAAACAAATTAAGATCTTTGTAAGCCTGCAGGAGAAAGAAGTAAGGCATTCAAGCAGGAACCTGCAGAACAAATATTATCAATAATAGAAATAAAAAATAAGAATGAAAGCTGTCATAATTTGAATGTGATTATTTTTGAAAATCCCAGGTTAAATAGTCCATTATCCCTAAATTATTTAGAAAATTTTATCTTGTTATACAAATAAAACCTTTGCACTATAGGATAATTATGGTGCAGGAATGAGTGGCTTCTCTGTTACACCCAGTTGTATGGATTAGGATCAGCAGTAATGTGTGGATCAATGATGGATGTCCTTTCAGGAGACACCTTCAGCATAATTCAGTTGTCAGCATGACTGTTTTGATTTCCCTTTATAATTCTAAACAATTTCTAGGGAATGTAGGAAAAGAACTTCTTTTAAGTAGACTTGTGCAAAATTATTTTGCGTGTGATTCATCACCAGAAAAACTGTCACAGATTAATATTTGTCACTTTGCGATTAGTAGGATGACCATATCCCTAAAACCTGAATGTGGGACAAAAATGATGCTTATGAGGGACACTGTGGGACACATCACCAATACGTCATAACTTTATTTTTTTAAATAGTTCTCACATTACTTTATTTTTCTCTGCTTTGGCTGTTTGTGCAAAACAATGGTTTTTTAAAAAGTTTTTAAGAAATAAATGTAACTTTTTTTAATTCAATATTTTTTAAAGTTTAAATG